AAAAAAAAACTGATTTTGCATTTCAGGTCTTGCAACGACGCGGTCGCAACGGTATCTAAATGATTCGCTTCCTTTGATGGAGAGACATCTACTGGTTGTAGGATAAAATTCTTCATGATCTCAATAGACGCTGATCGTAATCGTTCATAGATGTTTGTATTTAGGAAAGATGTCTTGTTCATATTGTTGATATTGTTATGAATAAAATTCGACATAGTCACAACTAGTATATATGGAACTTTATTAAATGCTGCACCTGTCTTATATGCATAATTTTAATGCACTTTGACACAGAATCCCTTAGAAATTCAACACATATCTGAACACCAAGTGTTATAACTAACACCTAAAATAAATTACTGTTGTCGGAGATAAACTGCCAGTGCTTCAAGTGTGATTCCGCGTACACGGTCCTTTTCTTTATCGCACTCGTCAGGTTGAGAGTAGTCGGCGACAAGATAATGTTTTAGAGCAAACTTCACTTCAGGCTATGACTTACCCAACAGCTATGCACAGAAGATTTTATCGCAGAAGATGACAACTCTATATCAATAAATAAGTCCGACATTCTGGTTTTATGAATTGCTATATAACTAAATCCATAATACTTCTCGTATAAGTTTATTAGGAGATAATTTGCTAGTCTACAAGAGCCTTCTTAGACAACAACTGACAAAATTCTTAGTATTGTACCTGCACAAGCTAGCAAAAGTTATTGTTAATTATTCACTGTTGTCCCTAAATTGTGCCATTGCGGTTAATAAGCACGAAACAATGATGGCTTTGGCAGTTTTCATAAAACTTTTTTTTAGATTTCAAAACACTTACCAGTGCGCAACGAGCCATGCAGTTCTTTGAACAACGCTTAACATCACAAACCTAAGGAATTCTAATGATAAACTTTTTCAAGAAAGGTAGATTCTTCAAGATCATCCTTGTAGTTCATCATGATTAAGCGAATGCAGCATCATTGACAGGATTTTATAATTGCTTTCATATCAAGATAATTGAGCGTATTTTATACAGCATGAACTATGTATGAAGCTAAGTCAAATATATGGAGATCAACCCTACTTGAGTTGTCCCAAAGTAGTAGATTTTACTTTACTATGTTCTGAATTCTGAGTTAATGCACATGCAACTCGGAAGAGCAAGAAAAATTGCTCGCAGTAAGGTTATTTTCCGGATACCGATGCAATACTACACTTTCTCGTCCATTTCTGATGATGCGTACAACGTAGTTGTTAGCCTTATAGTCATAAGCATTAGCAAGTAGTATGTTGATCACCGATTGATCATATCTGCAGAATTGTCGAATCACAATGAAATACACAACTTTAGTTTATTATATCTCATTCGAAAGTTTTGCAAAAAGGCTACATACCTGTGGCAGTTTGCATAGATTCTGAGCTTATCTTTTGCGAAAGAACAAGCCAGTTGTGCTTCAGGGGGTCCCATACAATCTTTTTCGAGAGCGCACAAGACATACCTGCATCGCAAGGATCATTTTTTTGAACTGACAATGTTGCTACACGGAAAATTACCATCTCATAAGCTCGGAAGCTTCTACAGTTTTGGCAATGAAGGCAAAAGCAGCATCATAGCAGCGTTCTGTTTTCAGTGCTTCAATGTCTGTGGGCAAGTAGGAATATAATCCTAAAATTCTAGACGTTGTCATCGATGTATTAAGTAAAGTGGACAAGTAGAAGTATATACATTTTTCAAAACAACGAAATCTTTCACTGCTTTGATTTGAAGCATCTGAAGAAGATGGATGAAGAGTAGACTTAAGGTAATGTACCTGGATGTGTTGTTGCATATATGCTGTGCCAAAGTGGAAAGTGCATTATATAGGCTGGCTAAAGTTTTTACACGCCCAGACTAATTCGCCCATTGCCGGATAAATTCAAAAGTAGCCTTACCTTTTTACAGTAACCAAACATAATATATTTCATACCGAACCTGAATGTTATAGATTTATAATTAAGAAGATTTAATGCATAGCGCGTGGATGCATGAAATACATATACATTGCACACATACAATATCGACCCCTTTTCCTTACGACACATTACTTCTTTATAAACCATTTGACGTGAATCCTCTAGCCATCGTACGGAACTGTCCATATACCATATTGCGCCAAATTCTTTCAATGCCATCTATGGAAACGTGTACACAAATTGCGAAGCAATGAAGTATGTAAAACATTTGCTTCGTTGTAGCGAAAACTAACCGCCATAACGAGAGATTTCCATCTGTATTCTTTCAAGTTCCCAACATAAGAAGGATATTCCTCGAAAGGAAATCTGCGCAGTTCTACCAAACATTTGCCCTCAAAAAGGAAGATAATTTATGCGTAAAAATTTCAGACTTTGACTTACCTTTATATTGTTTGCTGATTCCATGCTGAGGCCTAGATCGTAAACCATAATCTTTTCAGACACCCAGATTTTTCGGATATATGCTATCTGTAAGATCATCAGTACTAGCAACAATTGTTTTTTCCTTTTAGTCTTTAAACTCTTCGGATACTTGTGGGTTGACTCGAAAATGCATTTTAAGTTTTCAACTGCTGATACAGATGTAAACTTGCCAGAGCGAGAGCTTCTCCATAATGGTTTTCTGAGGTTGCTGTCACAAATACAGGATGTGGCATCTCTTCAGAAGCCAAATTAATGGTGTGCATTCCAGGCAGTAAATCTAACGGTAAACTGAGAGCGTCGAAGAAATGACGTTATCAACTTACCTAAGCTTTCGAGTTGCAAGACGTAATTGCAGTTGAAACGTTTCCCCTTATTGTAATATTTCTGAGGAAGGCGATAACAGAAATCATATGACATGTTTTCATGCCAGCAAGCACAGTCTATTTCTTTAGCTTGGAAAACATGATTGGAAGTGCTCTAAATGTAAAGTCATGAGCATTTTGAAAAAAGCGAGTAATTTGGAGGGGTAGTTAAGTCCCTACTCATGTAATCCTCGAATAGTCATTTTGCCGCTCTCATCCTTTCTCACTGAACACAAGAAGAACCCTTGCTTCGTCTTCGGCAAAAACAAAGAAAATTTGGGTGTTGGTAATAACGAGCCGCTTCCACAGTTTCACTCGCTAGACAGAGGAGGCACATTGATTTCCAACTCTTCTCACAGATAATCAAAATTGTATGTATCTCTCGCGATCCTTAGAAGTGACTTATCCGCACGATTACTGATCAGCGCAGCTCAAGTTGCGACATGTCTCATACTTATAGATACTTTAAGGGGACACCACTAAAATTGATCCCTTTTCTCCGGTCGGCAGTGCGACCTATGAAGAACTTGCAAAGCAGATTTGTATCTTCGTCTAGGCTGAAAAGTTGTAGTTCTCACAGCCAAATGAAAAAATTGACGAGAAATTTTTTTATGGAGAGCACCGAGATTCGATGAATTGATTTGGTCTATTTTTGAAATGGAGATTTTCTTATACAGTCGTAGGACTAAAACTCCGATTACAAGGTAATCGAAAAGTTGAAAGCGAGTGAGCGGCAAGGATTATGTAAGCGCGCTTATAATTAAGGAACGGGACGAGCTTAAATCCTACTGCTGTTGCTATTTATTGGGAAATTTAAAGAAAGAAGATCTTAACGTTGGTGAGATATGTTTAATATAAGATATGTTTGGAATATCAACGCACCAATGATATTTCTGAAAACTTAAAGTTGGTAATAAATATGACTAAAGTGACTACACATATGATGCCAAATAGGTTCATTGTTCTGGAAAAGATATTTAAATTCATTTCTCAAAAAGATGCAGCTCAATGACAAAAAGCTCAATCCCAATGTAATCCAACAGTGTTTCAAATTATATAGGAATATTTTGATATATCAAGGTTTGGAAGAGCAAAAGAGTAAAATCAGAAGCAATCAGATGTTATGGATATTGAATGCATCCGCGAAATGTAAAGGTGTTGTAGGTTTTTTTGTTTGAAAATGCAACCTTTTTAGCCAGAGAGCGCCTGAGATAAAAATCATTTCGAATAATACTTTACTCGGAAAACTTGACCTCTTTCTCTGCCTCTTTTTTCAAAACTATCAAGGTCTTCTTAATGGCACTACCACCCTATACTTCTACTGCACAAAACATTTAATCAAAATGTGAACTAAGCCATGACATATTTGTACTAAAAGGAATTTGCACATGTTGTCCTCATAGTGGGAATAGTTTACAAAGTGTAGGTGCCTTTAGCGCTAACTTAAAGTATAATCAAGTTGATGTAGAGATATTGTTGAAACGCCGAAAGGTTCTCTGATGGGATTATACAGTACGATAGTTCAAACTTGAAAACTATTTGATTTCGTAATAATTCGTAGCCAAGGTATGAAGAATGCTTATTGACTGAAAGTTACCTATAATTTTACACTGCATTACCATTGTATTACCGTTGTGAGCACGGGTGAAAGATTAGGTTAAAGGTGATAGATTTAACTTGAATTTGAATCCAATTATCTCATTGAAATGGATCATTGAAGTTTAACTTTGAAATTAAGAAGTCATTAACGATCACGCAGAGGGCGCAATTTTTTTAGAATTTTATGTATGTCACCTTGTAGTGGAGTTGGACT